TGCCTCTCATCTCATCGACAATGTATTTGATGGGAACCTCTGTCTTATATAAGGCGATATCGTTTATGTTTTTATCCCTATCCCAGTGTTCGTGAACAATAATTTTGGACACTGTGTACATAAAGCCGTCCCTTGGATTCGACAGATTATAGGCACCCAATCTTATGGCAACCAAATGCTCTTTGCCTACAAAACTGACCACATTTTGAACACAAAATATAAGGCAAACATATGATTAAAACGCTTACTTATCAGCGCAATGGGCGGCCGTCAGTACGTAATAGTCGTGTATAATAGCGCCGCCGCACATGTGGACGTATCGGCCTTTTGATAGCTTATTCAGCGACACAAGCCATGGAAACTCGTGCCGTACGGACGCCACTCCGCCCACAATTCTCGGCCGAACCGCTTGTTCGCCGTTTATTGACGTCAAACCGGCGAACGACGCGATTGTCTGCTTTTTGGTCGCTGTTATGCCGCAAAACAATGAGTTCATATCGTGTTCGGCGCCGGTATTCGCTTTGTGGCCACTTTTGTCGGCATTGAGTTTTGCGTAATACGCGCGACAGTCGGCCAGACATTGCTTTTCGCCGCAGAAACTATCACAGAATTGGTTCCCATTCACTGTGTATTACAAATCAATTATTGTATACCAGAAACACTATAATTGATGTTATTTTGTTACCTAAACATTGCGATAACACAAGTAAAATAGTGTAAATTATTGTTAAATAATTATTACATAATAAGTATAGCATTTTTTTATTTATTAATATAATAAACATATGTCTTATAGTAATAATAATATCAATAAAAATTTATTGCTATTTAATCGATAAAATAATTAATTCATAAAACAAGCGTTAAAATGGCTATCAAAAACTCAACAATTTATAAACCAGGCTCAGTTTAGCTCTATTTATAATACATAATAGTAATCATTTATATTTTATAGAATTTGTAATATAATTAATCAATTAATCCATAAATACATGTATAATAATGTGTGACAGAGAATAGATGTGAATAAACGTGAATTTGTGTGCATTTAGTATATCAAAGAAAATATCACAAAACAAAACAATATATTTATCGCAAATATTAATAACAATTGGAGAGAGAGAGAGAGAGAGAGAGAGAGAGAGTGAGAGAGAGAGATCGAAATGCACTTCAATTGACATAAACACCGAATTTGTCGAATTGATTGGAGAGAGCGGTGAAGAGTTCTTCGAGAAGATAGGGTTCGGCGCGAATGAGATCCCAATTATCGGATTTCATCACTTCTTTACGGTTAGCGATAATGAACTCAACGGTCACTGACTTCAGTTTGGATGCCTTATGACGGTGAAGAGTTCTTCGAGAAGATAGGGTTCGGCGCGAATGAGATCCCAATTATCGGATTTCATCACTTCTTTACGGTTAGCGATAATGAACTCAACGGTCACTGACTTCAGTTTGGATGCCTTATGAAGGTGTGAGAGGACCAGTATCTCTGGCGCCGACTCCACGCTAAGACTGGACATGAGATGCTTTTCGCAGAGTTCGCTCAGGTGTGGCAACTCATACTTGTCGGCCGCCGACAGCAGCTCTTTCGACACTTTCGACAGATTCGGCGCTTTTCCCGAATAGATGAATGTCAGCAACTCTTCCATCACATCCGGTCTGATGTCCGATATTTCGATGGCATTCTCGCGACACTCGCGCATATCCGACGCCAACATAGCGTTGAATACGGGCGACCGCGCGGACAGTATCGCTTTGTGCGCCCGAAGCTCTCGGCCCTCCACCACGATCTTCACGTCAGAGAATTTGCCCTCTTTTTGCAGCGCCGTATAGTTGGCCGACAGATTCAGATCAAATCGGTCTAACGGTTCCAACGGATCCACAATTGTGTACAAACAGATCTTCGGGCGAATCAATGAAAACAATTAGACAATGAATTAATGCATTTATTGGACACATACCTCGCAGAAGACGGTAATCTTATTGCTGTCCACCAAATGATTGTCGGCGTCGAAGAGCGTGTCTCTGGGTATGTATGACTTAATGCCAGAGGACTTGTTGCTCAGTTGGACAACACTTCTGTTGGCGTCTCTCGCGGACGACGACAGCAACGGATTCGGCGGCGAAGAGAACTCGAAGCGAATCATTTCGTAATTACCTAAACATATTTGCCATTCAATTATCATTGAATCAATCAGTCATTCAAATGCAATACAAATCGCAAACAATAATGATCTCAATTCATACTGGAATTTAAGGCAATATCACCGCTCAATGGAGACCACGGATGGCCCGCAGACCTCTGGCGCTGATGTCCGCCATTATTACCGCCACTCAACACACCGGCGGCGCCGCCATTGATCAGACCGTTGATCCGTTGGCCGTTGTTTTGGTTAAAGAAACACGAGTTGGTCTTCGGGTTATGCTTCTCTCCGGTGGACCAGTTGTGTAACGCGAAGGTATACTTAGCCCACACGGCTTTGTCGCCCGACTCCCTGTTCAAGAAGACGCCCAAATACTCGTTCCCGTCGGTGATGTTCTTCACTATAGGCGCTATGATTAGACTCCAAGAGCTCTCGTCGGCGTGAAAGACACCACTCTTTATGAGGTGATGATTGCGTTCGCGGATACCATCGATGGTGTACTCGTAGGTGAACTGATTCACTTCGGACCGCAGGTAACACGAGTACAACGAGTTGTTTGATATCGACATTGACTCCGACTCTACCGATGACTGGCGGCTGTGGCGATGTGTGGATCAGTTGACGCCACTTGTCTTCAGCAGACTCTTCATCGCCCGTATATATCTATACCATCAATGGATCAGCTGATAATCAAAATGGTTAATAGTGTGTTAAACTGTGTATTATTGTCAGCACATGCGGTGATAGTGTGCGGTGTAGTGGTTATAGCGGATCAGATGAGGTGATGATAATCAATGGCAAAGTTTTGTTGAAATGGTTTTATTGTTTTGTTTTGGTTTTGCTTTCATTTCAAGGCTTTTGTTGTGTTTGTGTTTGAATTGATTGTCACTTCAGTTCACATCACGTGTGCATTACGTCATGCATTGCGAGTGATGTCTATGTTTTGCACACAAATTATGTTGAGTTAGACTTAACACTGGATTCCGGTATTGGTTTCAATTGTGGTCACAATTAACTGCTTATTAATTAATGTGTTTTATTTGTGTAAAAATTTATTGTTTGTATATTTAACCAACATTTAAAGTATTTTGTTTTACATTTGTTTAGTTTAATTATTATGTATTAAAACTTTTAGTATTTATTATACAAGAATATTCTTTGCCATCATATAAGGTATTTTTTATTACTATTAATTAATAAAATTACAAATAGTTAATAAAATAAAATAATTATATAAATAACAGATTTAGTTGGCTTTGTATTTACACCACATCTAACAATGTTTTATAAAGTTTATAGAAATAATATACACTAAACCCGTAAACGACTGATAGTATAAATCCAAACACCTATTAAAACAATCAAATGAAATATAATTAATATAATAATGTGTTAGTTATGGGGCAGACCTACCGATGCGACTATTTTGCCGGCAAATCCTGGCTCTGATATACCATTTAATGGATGTCTGTTTCTGATGGAAACTTCAATTAATAGTATGAATGACATAATCAGATACAATATAAATGACAGCGAATTTAATGCAATTTCCTGTGAAAAATAATAAATATATTTTCCATTAAAAATGTTATATTAATAATCAAATGAAAATGAGATAAAACTACACACAAAACTAGTCTTTGGGATATCGGTTGCCATTTGTGTTGAAAAGGTATAGCACAGCATCAGTAGTGCGGACCACATCAGTACTGACCATACAATCAGTATGAATGCCGTCTCAGACTTACCGCCGATGAAACCCGAATATTGCTGATTATACGGATCGTAATTATTATTGCAACTCACCATGATCGTTATGAAACATATTACACCTAAACCCTGTTGGTTATTATATAAAACCGCAATTAGTTCTAGCATATACACAATTAAACATGTATAATTTACTAACAACTTGAATGGCACGCAAAATACCGCATTTACTCTTACAGTAATCGGTGTTGATATTAATTTGCATGTGTTTTAACTCGTTATTCCGTAGAGTATTAATGAAATTAGTGAAATAAGATGACATTATGTTTTACAAGTATGTAAATTAACTTGGTTACATATATCGTATACTGTGGTACTGAATAAAATTCATGCATTCACTATATTGTAAGGCATATTATTATGTAAGGTGTTATGAATTAACAGTAAATAAGTGTAAAATCATTTGTTTTTCTTAACACCAGTACTGTATTCACTTAAATACGCCTACATTTGCCTTAATATAATGGTTAAGTGTATGTCATGTAAGGAATCGGAAATTTCTACGTTATTAAAGAGGAAAGACTTTTAATGCACAAAAAAGTGTTTATAAATAGATGTTCATTCACTTAACCAATACATGTGATAGTGTTGTTAATTCTGTGTTAAGTTTTTAAATAGTGTAAATATTGCACACATTTAACACATGCGCCCGTAATTAGCATTGATTTTTGGTTGTAAAGTAAATAAATAATTTAGAAAAGTACTTTTTTACTTTATTTATTGTATAAGAGATTTGGAAATTTATTTTATTTAAATAATTTAATAATTATATTTTTCTATTAAAACTAGAATTAATAATTTAATAAATTAAATAAATGAATTATAGGTGTATACAATGTGTCATTAATGAATGACCATGGTCTTTCACGGTTTCAATGTCTTGTTAGAAAGATCACGATTATTACACAAATTTATTTTATGTGTAATTTATATGTATTTCTTCCATAAATACTCGCATTCATTGATTTTGAGTCCGTTTTCAAATAATTTAACTTTTTGTTCGCCATTTATCTCATAATAAGGAGCAATGATTTGATTGTTTATTGTGTAATATTGAGGCCATTGAATACCACTGACAGCACCGGGAGATCTAAATCGAGAAATACTAAATTTATTACTAAATAATATTTAATTTAAAACAAACCCTGTTTTGGCAAATGTAGTGAAAATGTCAATCATTTCATTTGATATTTTCCTATGAATGTCAGAATATTCTATATTCCTATCGTCTCTTTGAATTAAAGGCACACCAAATACAGGGAAGTTGTCATATGTGTCGCAAATATCCATCCATTGGGAACAATGTGGTGACTCTTCGCCCGTTTTAATATTATAAAAGTATTGAAACACTTTATTATGAGTTTGATTGTAAAAACTCTTCACAAATTGAATGGTAGGACATGTGCTGAACAGATCACTCAAACCAATGCCTATCGTTTGTCGCAATAAATGCTGACTATTCTTATCGGAAAGACCCGTAAAGTATAGTTTGGCCACATCTTCACCATTGATGGCAACTCTTGACACCCATTTTGACGATAATTGTTTTAATTCATTGAAAGCTTCGTTGAATGTGATGTTTACGGGAGAAAAGGGATGATATTTCACGGCATCTATAAAAATGGCCAAAAGTGGCGACCCTTCGTCTCCTTTGGTTCCGACCATAAGACTAATATTTTTGTTGAAATTATTTTCATCGATCACTCGAAGGGAATCTTTTGGCAAAAAATTGCCGTCAAATACAATGAGTGGTTGAAAAGCAATGAATTCACTATTTATATTAAAAGGCGTCTTCACGAGTGACGCCAACTTTTCTGGCGATATATTTCGTAAGCATTCAATGGTTTTGGCCGTAAATTTGTGGCCACAAGTGTTGCTGTCATCGCAACAACCGATAGATTCCGTGTGTTTTAACCAATATATGAGCGCAACGTTTGGCTCAACCACTAAACCGTAATTAAGTGCTGCGCCGGACATAAGTATAGCGTTTTTGAATAGGTTTTGATTGATTGGCGACATTATGTGCAAACTGGTAGCCCAGGCGCCCGAACTCTCTCCAAACACAGTGACCCGCTTCGGGTCGCCACCGAAGTAACGGATATTGTCGTTAACCCATTCAAGCGCTAACGACTGATCAAATAAACCCATATTCCCGGGACTATCATCTGTTCCCGTATATAAGAATCCGAAAGCATTTAACCTATAGTTAATGGTAACGACGACCACATCTCCCGTTGCGGACAAAGCAATGCCGTCAATGTGTCGGTCACTTGCGGTTCCGTAAAGAAAACCTCCGGAGTGTATGAAAAACATCACTGCTTTCAGATTGTTATCCATTTGGGAACTATTTGGTGACCATATATTTAAGTAAAGACAATCTTCGCTGAAATTGGTGTTTGTCATGGATGTGATGAGAAGAGGTAATTGATAGCAAGGGTTCGGCCATTTGGTCGCATTCAGCGGCTGTGACCACTTCAAGGCGGGCACCGGTCTCTTGAATCTGAATCGCCCGACGGGTGGTTCGGCGTAAGGAATGCCCAGAAATACATCCACGCGTTTATTGTTATGTGTCTCACATTTACCGATAATTATTCCGCTCTCCAACGAAACGCTTATACTTTTAGCGCTGGTTTTGACGTAATATGAGATTAATATAACAAAAATAAGATAATTTTTGACACTTTTCATTGTCAGCACATAAAAACACTTTAAACTTATTCATTCAATAAAATGTTGCTTTCAATAAGAATTCCTATATTTAACATAAGTTTGAATTAAATATATGATATCTAATGCTTTATCGTGTATTTTTGTCTTGCTGAATAAAAAATAAAACAAACAAAAAAGTTATCAAATAATTGTATACTTTATTTTAGGGATCGGCAAATAGAGGTGTTTGCCATAAATTATCCCATAGATGTCCCAAGTGTTCCATAGATTATAATGTAACTAACTAGTAGGGATGTTAACGGGTAACCTACCATGGTAGATAATTGCCGATCACTACTTTATTTCATACAGTGAAGGGGCAGTGAATTATTTTATAAAGTGCATTAAGTTCACTTTTAAGTGCATTTTGAGTACAACGGGTTAACCGATCTATCTCCAACCTAGTCCTACAGTCCTATAGTCCTAGGGTCTAAAATTTTATCGATAAAGTAACCCTGTTGACATTGATTTCATAAAATTAATGACAAGTGTTAATAATAATGTGGTTTTTCTACTTTTATTAACACCACCTTTCAATGCCCGACTGTATAGTGCACTTAAGGCTATAAAAATAGTACACTATTCAACATTGTTTAATAATGATACCAGTATTTCAAAGTATTTCAATTATTATTGGCAATAATTTATTGCAAATTTGATGCAATTTTTTTGTTACAAATGCACTAAAAAAGTACTGACCATACATTGTCTGCAATTGCGTTAATACCCGGGTATTAATATATTGAATCATTGTTTCAATTGTTTGACAAATTGTCATCACTTTATGCGTCGATTAGCCAAACATTATTTGCGTTAATAATGATATTTAATTGATTTTTATTACATTAAAATATTATAATGAAATTCTCGATTCCATTCATACAATTCTCACACAAAATACATATTATTTTTGTTGCAAATGAAATGATTTTAAAAAACAATTTGAAAAACACATGAAATATAATTATATATCGTATTCGAGAGGCGGACTAATCGCTGTCTGAGTCGGAACTGTTGGACGAGTGCTCGGATTTGTTGCCGTCCACCGACTTATTCTCGGCCACACTTTCATTGTCCGACTCTTTATCCGACTCTTTGGCCACCGCTTGAGTCTCAACGGGTCTTTCATTGTCCGAATCCGAGTCAACAGATGATTGATTGTTAGACTTATTATTCTCGTCGTCGGACTTGTCTTCGGCGGCGCTTTCGTTGTCCGAATCTTTAGCCACTTCTTTGNTTGCAAATGAAATGATTTTAAAAAACAATTTGAAAAACACATGAAATATAATTATATATCGTATTCGAGAGGCGGACTAATCGCTGTCTGAGTCGGAACTGTTGGACGAGTGCTCGGATTTGTTGCCGTCCACCGACTTATTCTCGGCCACACTTTCATTGTCCGACTCTTTATCCGACTCTTTGGCCACCGCTTGAGTCTCAACGGGTCTTTCATTGTCCGAATCCGAGTCAACAGATGATTGATTGTTAGACTTATTATTCTCGTCGTCGGACTTGTCTTCGGCGGCGCTTTCGTTGTCCGAATCTTTAGCCACTTCTTTGGCGGCATTCGGTCTCTCGTCGTCCGAGTCTTTATCGCTCTCTTCTTGTAATTTCTGTTCGTTGGGAGCGTTGTTGTCGTCGTCCGCCTCATCATTATCTCTCTCCACTTCCATCTCTTTGTCCTCCTCTTCGTCCGAAGACTTGTCCGACTTATCCATTGGCGCCGGACTTCTCTCCACCTCTGAGTCCGACTCTATTCGCGCTCTTTTGGTCTTCGGTTTAGCGTCTGAATCGGAATCAGAACTGTTTGCAGAGCTCTTCTCGTCGTCTGATTTTTCTATAAATCAATCAAAACATTACAATTGATATAAAACTCAATGTTTAACAAAAGCAAGTAATGGTCACAAAATTATGATTACTTTTCTGTTGCTGTTCTTCCTCTTCATCTCCAGAATCGGCTAAAAACGACTTTTTGTCGATCTTTTTGTGAACCTTTTCCTTCTTCGCCTCAATAGACGAATCAGAATCAGAAGAATCGCTCACTTTCTTCACTCTAGGCTTAGATTTCTTGGGTTTCGACTCTTTCTTCCTCTTCTTTCCCCTGTTATCGGAATCGCTGTCCGAAACATCCGAAGAGGACTTCTCTGATGACGAAGATTTGCCCGATTTGTCAGACGAAGAGCCCTTCGATCGACGCTCAGCTAATTTAGACAAACAGTAATTAATGAAATCAATTGATGTCACGATATGTGTGTCAATGCATACGTTTATCGTCGCCAGACTTGTCGTCACCGGACTTGTCGTCGTCGGACTTCTTGTCCTCGACATCGATCTTGAGTTTGTCGTCATCCGAGTCGGAAGAGCTGTCGGAATCGATGTATTCCTTGGACTTAAACTTTCCGGGTTTCGACGGTTTCGCCTGATCTGCGGTCTGATGGATGTGAACGCGTCCTCTGTTCTCCTTACTCTTGCGGGCCTTGTCTTTGCGGACGCGTCTCTCCTCTTCCCTTCGTTTCCTTCTCTCCTCATTCCTCTCCTTCACGTCTTCGTCGGATCCGGACTCCGAGCGGTCTCTCTTCCTGCGCTTGCGTTTGCGCTCGTGTTTCGAGACCTCCCCTTCGGCCAGATTTAGCGGCCGTTTAATGCGATCCTTATTCTCGCCGTCCGACGAGCTATCGTTGACGAAGCCGTCCTCATCCACGTAACGCTTCCGCCCCTTCTTGGGCTTGTCTTCGCTCACTTCGGCGAACAATAGTTTATTCTTCGACTGCTCCACAAACAGTTGTCTCTTGAGAATAAGCTCCTGTTCCACTTTCACCCGCTCTTCCTCTTTCACTCTCTGCTCGTTCAGCATCTTCTGCCGCAAAGCCTCCCTCTCTTCCTCCTGTTTGCGACGGATCTCCTGTTCCTCTTCGTCCGTACGTCGGGCTCTCACCACATGATACTGAGCCTAAGATCGGGTAAAATATAAACAATAGATTTAATGATTAAATATACAAATGATTGCCTCCAATGGCATACCTGTGCCAATAAGTCCTGACACTGTCTTTCCTCGATTTCGGCCAATTGGAGATCGAATCGCATTTTGTCGCCATTTTTCTTAAGAAAAGAGAAGTACTTCTGCGCTAAACCCAACTCATGGACGGCCGACAACACAGTACTCAACGAACTCTTCGTGTCCTCCAATACACTGGCGGCCAGTTTCTGGAGAACGAGCGCCAGATTGTAGAGCAAAAGCGTGTCGTGAGGGTTGACCCGTCGGGCGCGGAGGAGGACATTACGACACTGTCTAAGTTTACCCCATTTGAAGTAAGCTCTGGCCATATATAACAACACTTCGGTGTTTGTGTGGCTATAGAAACGGCGCAAACAATTCTCGTACATCTGAATGGCGTTCACGTATTGCTTTAACTCGACGTAAATGTGAGCGATGTTTACCCACACGTCCGGGAAGTCGGCCGTCGACTCCCGAACCTGAGAGAACACATCGCGCGCTTCGCTAACGTAGCCCTTGTGGGCCAACACAGAGCCGATACCATTGGCCGCCCAGATATTCTTCGGGTCAATCTTCAACACCTGTCGGTACATCTGAATGGCTCTCTCCTGATGGCGCTTCTCTTTGTCCTTATCCTTCGAGGGCTGATGTAATGTCTGGAGCCATACGTTGCCCAACGCCACGATTGAGTACGTGTCCTGAGAGGTGGCCTCCTGTGCCAGAATGCGCTCAAACTTCTTCTGCCCCGGACCCCACTCCTGCTTAGCCAAGTGCAGGTTCCCGATCAGTGACCACGCGTCAGCATGGTCCTTTTCCACCTAGAAAAACCATCACCAATTCATAAACAATTAATATTTTGTTTCATTTTCATGTTAAATGGTGTTAATTATCTCAATGCCAGACCTGAAGCGCCTCTTTGAACCAATCGCTGGCCTCATAGATCTGTCCCAAATCCCTGGCCATACACCCGAGCCGTAGATAACAGTCCACGTAATTGGGATGCTCTCGAAGAATGTTCTTATAGATGGTCTCGGCTTTGTTGTAGTCGTGGTTCGCTTCGTGAAGTCGCGCCAAATTGTAGTTAATGGTCACCGAAATGGACTTAAAGTAGTGCTCCTCCACCTCGTGCTCCATCTCTTCGTTACACCGCTTCAGTGCCAACGAGTAGTGATTCATCGCTTCCTTAATATTGCCTAAACGGAAATGAAGTGCCGCCACATTGTTGTAGATCTCGGCCGGGATTTCCACGTTTATGGCATTCCTCGAGATCTCTTTGAATATCTTAATGGCTGTCCCGTAACCGTTGAGAGCGCCTATCGTTTCAATGCAATCGTTTAGTCAAATAGTGACCACTGGAACCGATGGCAACACACATACCCTGAAGGTCGGACTGTTCGAGAATCTGTGCCAATTCAATCCAGGCCTCGACGTCGTCCGGATGCTGTTCAGTGACTTTCTTGAGAAACTGTTTGGCGTTATCTCTCTTCGCCTGATTGGGTGACTGCGCATAGAGTGAGCCCAAGATCTTCATTGTCTCGTAATTATTGGGATTCGATTTGAGCACTTTCTCGAAACACTGCGCGGCGTTATCGGCGTCTCCCCTATGGATATACATCTGACCCAAACCGAAGTTCGGCAATACGAACGACGCCGACGCGAATTGGGTCGCCTGATAGTAGTACTGGAAGGCCTGGCAAACACCCGGTGCCACACATTCGGAGACACAGTATTAGTACATTTGTTTTGGCGCGCAAACAGTGAGTCTGCAAATACCTGATCGAAGTCCTCCTGAATGTGAAAACTTCTGGCCATTTGGTAACAGCTCTCGGCTCTCATCGACTCGTTCTCCGTGTTGTGAAAGGCGTGAAGCGCCAGATGTTGTACTTTCTGATAGTCCTTCTTGAAGAAGAAATGATTGGCCAAATGGTTGAGAACCATGGGATGCGTCGGATCGATGGTATAGGCTTTGGACAGCATCTGAACGCCGCGTCGAATCGATTCCGATGTCTTCAGATTGAGCTCCAGTATGGATAGGCCGACGAGTGCGCCGACACACTGGGGGTCCAGCTGTAGGGCCCTCTCGAACGCGAGTTTAGCCTTTTCTGGTTTATTCATTTTGTAGAAACAGTGACCCATTCCTAGCCTCACATTCGCCGGACAGTTGGGGTTAATCCGCAGCGCCTTCTTGTAGAAAGTGAGCGCCGTTTTGGGCTCTTTCTTATTGAAACTGATGCACGCCTTCCCTATAGTCCACACACAATACAAAACACATATAAGAATCCGTTCGAGTGATCGACAAGTATTATGGAATAGTGTGTGCAATGCTTACCGAGAAGAGACGGTATATTATTGGGCGCCTGATTGAGTACAAAGGTGAACTGAGCGTCAGCTTGGTCCATTTTGTCGGGTTCGGACAGACAGAAGTGAGCCCTACCGACGAGATGGTTGGGCTCATACATGACAATCTTGTCGGCGTTGGTGTAGAGGACAGTCGCCTGAGCGANGTGAACTGAGCGTCAGCTTGGTCCATTTTGTCGGGTTCGGACAGACAGAAGTGAGCCCTACCGACGAGATGGTTGGGCTCATACATGACAATCTTGTCGGCGTTGGTGTAGAGGACAGTCGCCTGAGCGAACAGTTCGCGCTTCTTATCCCTATTCTTCTCTTTGTTAGCTTTGGTCACGTAATACGCGGCCAATGTGTCCAACGCCCGCATCTGATCCCTCTCGTAGTCCGGGTATATGAGAGAGGCGTCGGTTCGGGAGCTCTCCAAGAGTTGCACGAAATCCGGTTCTTTGTTCTGCTTATAATAGGCCAACGCTATGGACATCGAGTGATACAAAGACATTATCATTAGTATGTGTGTGATATNTGGTCACGTAATACGCGGCCAATGTGTCCAACGCTCGCATCTGATCCCTCTCGTAGTCCGGGTATATAAGAGAGGCATCGGTTCGGGAGCTCTCCAAGAGTTGCACGAAATCCGGTTCTTTGTTCTGCTTATAATAGGCCAACGCTATGGACATCGAGTGATACAAAGACATTGTCATTAGTGTGTGTGTGATATCTGTGGTGGTTGTCATCGGCGGTAATGATTACAAACCCAATTGGATCCAAACGGTGAGCGGCGCGGTCTCGGACTGCAATATCTGCAACACTTCCCGACAATCCGGCAGTTCATCCAAATCCAGTTCAATCACTTCGTCCGCCGACTCCTTCAGCGGGATTTCGATCGTATTTCTGGCCATTTTTGCGGATCAAATCACACGTGACTTTCACTACAAGACAATTGGTTTTGCGGGCATTTGTTTGGCTCTTCAGCGCAAACAACAAACACTGCAAACACTGTAAAGCATTGCTTACATACAGTACAGGCGTTACAGTGTATGTGCTGTTTGTTATTTAGGCCTTTTTATTACTACTATATATAGCGTTGTATTCAGATATTCTGTTTGCGTAAAAGTACTAAACTATCGATTGTTTATAAGTTTAATATATAATTTGTTGTCAAAACATGTATAATACTTATAAGACGTTACGAATTATACGTTGTTTTCCCAACCCTTTTGCCCCTTTTGTTGTATTTCTTAGACATTCCCCCAATTAGTGAACCCCTTCTCCTGTAATAATTAAGTCACAGACTATTTGAGTGCATTTACTATACCTTTACCTTCAATACGAGTGGCAAACGATTGAATGGCAAACAAAATGTAAATAAAAAACAGTTGTTTTGATGCAAACGTCAAATGGATTAATAAATTGTTTCCACAATTAATACCAAAACATGTGTTCAAACGATAAGCAAAACAATGGCTTTTGTATCGTATATAACATACCATCGGATTATCGTTCAAAACATTTACGCAATTATTTTAACGAATTCATTGAGAAACGAGTGTTTCGTTGCTTTCATTACAGACATCGACCTCAGGATCTGCGACACGTGAAGACCCGACTCATGGCCACCGATAGCGGGTCCGCCAGCGATGGCCAGTCATGTGTGGCCGCGGATCGGATGCGACAATTGAAACGCTTTTGTGCCGTAATCGACGTGAAGACCGAATCAGTTGTCGAGTTTTGTCGCAAATATAACGACAAGTTTTGGATCAATTTCGACAAAGACTGCGACTTCGGGTTCAAGTGTTTTGTCAAACGCATCAAAGTTGTGGACACCGGAGGCGAAGACAATCACCGCACGGATCCGTTGCGCAAAGCCATCGAAACGAACGCCGCGTTTGGCAGACATCGCAGCAGACATTTGACGGATCGTCTGAAGCAAAGGTCGCCCGAAGTGTCGTTGGATTCGCTGTCGACTGCGTTGGACGGCGACGGAAGTGGCGCTGATTTAGTGCTCACTCTGTCTGAAGTGAAATCATTGCGTGAATTGAATCCTCCGTTTGATATAATGCCAAACGGAAACGTCGGGACGCCGTCCACAGTGTTCTTGGAGCTGATCCGTGAGTGCAAACTTCCGGCGCCCGTCATCTCCAAACTGGAACTCGATTTCCCCAAATCCATGAAAAGACGGATCTATTCGAGGGTTGAGTTCACATATAATGACAGAAATAAACGTCATTTCAAACCCAAATCCAGTGATAAAAGTGTTAAACAATTATTTTCAAACCATAATTCAAATGATGACAAAGACATGGATTTAATTAAAACTAGAACTGGTTTTGTAATCAACGATAAGTTCAGTTCAACTCAGAAGACGAGTGAATCAAATGCGAAACAAACTGACGGCAAAGATAAAGACAAAGACCGAGAAGAAGAGGACGGATCAGATGAGGACGAAGAGGAAGAGTGGGACAGATATGAGTCACTGCACGACGACGTGACACAACAGGAGAGGAATAGTGAGCGCCTGTTTGAGGAGGAGATTGAGCTGAAGTGGGAAAAGGGCGGCTCAGGTCTGGTCTTCTATACCGACGCCCAGTTCTGGGATATGAAAGACAATTACGAAGACTTCAATGAGAAGACACCCGACGACTGGGATCTCGATCTCAGTGTTTA